AAGTTAATCTTTTGAAGCTCGTGCCGGTTTTATTTTCCTCATGATCAATTGACTAATATTACTTTTCAGCTTGTTCAAGCCGGCGCTGTAACCGTCACACTCGACGGCTTCCATGCCAATGAATCAGCTCAGTCGTTGTAAGGGCATAGGACGACTAGGTAAATTGATGGAATGAAAAAAAAAATAGAAAAAGAAAAAGAGCTATGCATTTGCTATATTGTACGTTACGAGTATATGGGGTTGGTTGGAAATAAGAGGGCCAAATGTGGCTTCTTAGCACGGGGAGAGCTTCCGGATCATAAGCACGAAGCACATCACCTGCTTCTCAGGGAAATAAGGAAATGAGAAAATGAGCCATTGAATGGCAAGGGGTTTGACAACAGCTTACTTGATGAGCATGATTAAAATATTGTTCGGGTTTCTACATGCCACGCATTGGAAGATCTTAGGGGGCGAACTCCCACCTGTGCCTAGCTGGCTCTACTGTACGGCTACGGCGCACTACCGTATGTCTGCCAAACCCAACATGAACGAGAGCGAGCATGGTGGTGAAATTAGAGCTGGGAATAAGGCACAAATAGCGCCAAACAGCAAGCCAAGTCCTGCGCTAAAAGTCATGCATACTTATTTTAAGCATCTTCTACCCAAGGGTGGGTGTGATCAAGGAATTAATTGATTAATTAACCATCTCACCCAACGCTGTTCGGCGTTTGATGTGCTGCCTCAGTGCCCCGTCTTACGGGAAAGGAGATTCGAAAAAAGTAGAAGAAGAAAAAAAGAAAGAAAGAAAATTCCACTTCGTATACGAGTACGCCCCTGACATGCTACAACGGACGGACTCGGTGAAGTCGGTCTCTACTCTTGATGCTACATCTAGCTAGGCCAACACGGACAATTTCCATTTCAGCGGCCTGAAGCAACAAGTCATGATGATCTTTTGAGTGATTAATCACCGTCATCTTTGGCTCATCACAAGGATTTCTGGTGGTGGAGCGGCAGACCACACCAAGAAGCTTAGTTCGCTAGCGGCCATTTTTAGTTGGTAGGTTGCATGTCCTCGCTCAATTTACCGCTTTGGATGGGAGAATGAGTATCTATCGGGCATCAACGATGCCAGTGAGAAGATACTACTTCCTATACTCACGATATATATGATTGATGTCTGGATTGATAGGTACATATAGTATCTGACACCCAAATGGGCACATCGTATATGTACTTGGGCCAAGTGATAGAGGCCGTATAGCGTCTTGGTCAAATGTTGCTCGGCGACTCCGCTTCTCACCACCAACGATTAGCATAAAGCCCATCCATGTCGTGTGCCCGTTATGCATACTATTACTTTGTTTGCATCTCGATTACCATAGCTTATCCACAGACTAAGCTGAGCCTGTACCCACCAACCAAGCATGGGTGCTGGGGTTTCCGGGCCTAGATGGCAGAACTCCATCATCCATGCATTCCGAACTGGAGAATTCTTCGTCATTTGGTGCCTCACAGCCACCGACATTTGCAACAATTGGCTGACGGCCGGAGTCAATGTTTACTATTCGTCGCCGATAGTCGTCTCCTAGGGTTTCCCCCAGCCGGGACTTGTCATCAAATCCTGGCCGCATCCCGTCCGGTGGTTGGCAGCAATAGGGCGAAGCTGTAACACGGCTGCAAGATTCTGTTGCCGAAGCCGAACAAAAAGGCATCGGGGGCCACCTGGGCGTGCCACGTCGTCGTGCCCCCTTGAACGGCCTGCGCCACGGGCAAGAAGAACTATTAGTACGAGTATATAGCCTGTTTTCCAGAGCTGAAGCTTGCAGGATCCGGCCCTTTTTTTTTTTTTTTTCCTTCTTCTCTCTGTCTGTGATCCTCCCCCTCGCCTGGAAGTGCTTGGCGGCCTCCAGCCCTTACTGCTTTACTGCTAGTACCTCCCATAGTAGAACGTCTGGGCCACCACACTTTTTGCAAACTGCTGTTGCATCAGAAACAACAGGGGCACCAGAAAGGGAGATACAGGCCCCACTTGCATCGACTCGATTGATTTCACAGCGGTTGCGATGGCCAGCCGTAGCCCAAGCCATCGCCGCTTAGGCCCTCATGGCCAGCAGAGAAGTCCTCTTGTGCAAAACGACGCCCTGGAACCGGGCCCTGTCTACAGCAAGGCCTACGGCGGCGAAGACACGCTTCCTCCCCCAAACACCAGTCCTGAAGCCCACGGCCACGGTCACGGTCACCACCTTCACGTCCACGGGCACAAATACAAGCGTACCAGGTGGCGGAGCGAGAAAGGATCCGGGTCCGGCATGAAGCTATTCAGGATCAAGACGGGCGGCGAGAGTGGCCGCGGCGGCATTCACCCATGGCACTTCCTGAGAATCTGCTTTCGCTCGTCGTGCAAGGCCAGCGCGGCCGTCAACGTTCTGTGGCCCATTGTTCCCGTCGCATTGGCTATTCGATGTAAGTTCTGAGAGTTGAAGCTGGAGCTGGAGCTGGAGTTGCAGCTGCAGCTTTACCCCTATGGCGATGGCAATTTCCAGCGCTTCAATTTGGCGATCGCTAATGCCCGAGACTTGTCGTCGTTTCTTAGATACTCTACCAGATGATCACATTCTCATCTTCATTCTCTCTTACATCGCCATGGCACCTTGTGCCAACCTCATCGGATTTGCTGGTCAGGAGTTTGCTCGCAAGGTTCCCCATGTTTTCGGCGTCCTCATCGAGACAACGGTCGGTTCCATCGTCGAAATCATCCTCTTCATGGTTCTGCTCTCCAAGGATCAATTTCTCGTCATAAAAGCTGCCATCCTCGGCTCCATTCTGGCCACCATGTTACTCTGTTTGGGTCTTTGCTTCTTCGTCGGTGGAATATACCATGAGGAACAGACTTTCAGTGACACCATTAGCGAGGCTGGTAGCGGTTTGCTTCTTACTGCGTATGTTGCTCTCTCACCTGTTTGTTTGCGGACAAAAATTCGTCCCACATTTCATTGATTTGACACAAGCTTACTGGTGATTTAGGGGCGTGGCGTTAGCTATTCCCACCGTATTCATGCGAGGCCTGCCGGATGACAACACTTTGAGCCCTGAGGAGATTGCTCACAAAACCCTGAGCATCTCGCGAATCGTGTCCATCCTTCTCATCATCGCCTACTGTGTATACGTCTTTTTCCAGGCCCGAACCCATCACGGTATTTACCATGCCATCTTTGAGATGGATGAGGAGCGCGACCGCGACGGCCATAAGGATGCCGCCAAGGACAAGCTCACCATGACAGAGTGCATCATTGCATTGGCCGTTGCTGTAGCTCTCGTCACCTTGATTGCCATTACTCTCGTCTTGCAGATTGAACATGTCATCGAAAAGTCAAAGGTGTCCGATGCTTTCATGGGTCTTATCCTGGTTCCTCTCGTCGAGAAATTTGCCGAACACATCACAGCTATAGACGAAGCATGGGATAACCAGATGAACTTTGCGCTCTCCCACGTCCTGGGTGCCACTCTTCAGACTGCTCTCTTCAACGCTCCGCTGGTTGTCATCGTTGCCTGGGGTCGTGACAAGCTTTTGGACCTGGAGTTTGGTATCTTCGAACTGGTCATGCTTTTCCTTGCTATTTTGACCGTTGGTCGGTTTTTGCAAGACCAAAAGAGTAACTACCTCGAGGGGTTCCTCCTTGTAACTCTTTACGTGGCTGTCGCAGTGTCTGCTTTCTACTACCCTGATCCAACTGTTCATGGAAGTGGTGAGGGTGTTGGCGGAGAGCCTACTTCACCAGGCACTGAGGGCGCGGAGGGTGGTGGCCATAAATTTCGAATGTTTTAACCCGGAACCACTGTTCCGTAGCACGGCATAGCGATGCAACAAGTATCTGACATTTGCTTGTGGCTTGTTTAACTCTGAATCACTCATACTCGGGCACACGCAAGGTTATGGAGGAGTGTACCGAGATAATGCGGCTTAGAGGACTAGAGGACTATGCATGGCGTTTGACAAAGGGGGATATGAGGGCGTGTATAAATTTCAAGACTTTCTAGGGGAAAACAGATTACCTTTTATTTCTCTTTGTTTAGATCTGTGAGCGATGTGCAGCAATTTCCGCTTTATAGTACTATGTAATAAGTCCTACCGTCGGATTGACTTTGAACCATAAACCAGTTAGAATGAACATTATCAATCTTTCAGCTTACTTGATATACCCGTATGATGCAGCGTTTCCTTGAGGTGAGTTAAGATACTCAAGTATATGCCTGAACCCTTACCCTATAAAGTTAGCGTAGTTTTTGAACTTTGAAAAACAACAATATTTGGCCTTGTCCAGTTGTTTTCCTCTAAACATGCTATTCTAGTTGTCGACTTTGGCATTGCCTACTATTTCATTTTTTTTTTTTTTTCAATTAACGCATGTGTATGTATTCTTCGCCATTTATTATGGAAAATACAATATTATTCTGCAATGCTTTATGGATTCACTAGATTCACGGAAGATGTCATTTACAGAAGGCCAGACAAGAAAAAGTCGACTTGATTGGCCACTACATTTCTACCTTTAACCCATTTTTGACCTAGCACGCAGGTACACGCTCTACCCATTAGGCTAAGCTCGATCTCGCCGTCATGTTATTCCGGCTGCCAGTGCCCGTGCTTAGTTTAGCGCCGCATGGCGAATTAAGCTCTTGATGACGAAGGGTGGTATTTATCCGAGTTTCACTCTATCGGAGTTCTCTAGCCATCCATTCCACATAGCCTTAGCCTTAGCCTTGCGTCAATCTCGTGGCGCAAACCACCAAGGTCTTTTGCTTCTGGTTACCTGATTTGGCTGAACTACTCAACGACTATATCTTGTTCCTGTCCGACCAGTTTCCTCGGACGCACCGATGCTGCTGGTTCGCCTTGCCCAACAACAGTGCCGAGTTCCAGGGCAGTACATCCCTTAGCAGTGCAGCGTTACGCTCGAATGTAGTACCTCGATCAGAATCGGCTGTCGCAACCCAGACTCACCCTACGGGTTGCCATGGATCGCGCAAGGAAGCGTGCGTGTTGATTTTGCGACCCTGTTGACGGGTTGTTCGTGGGCTGACAGTGACCTAACAGGAGAGCTCCGAGCTCTGAATGAAAAGGCTTGGGATGGCGACAAAGGTATAGCATGGACAAGGGACAAGTTTCGGAATGCTTTTGTTGCTTGCTAGCTAACCTCTCAACCAAGGGCTCGTGAATGTCAGCAGCTCGCTTGACTCGTCGCTCAAGAAGAATACGGCATTTATAAAAAGGCTTCGGACTGCCATCAGCGCCGCGACTCTCTCGACGTTCCTGCAAGAGATTCGGACTCTGAGCTTGCACAAATATCTGTCCGAAATTATATCTGCCTGCTATGAAGGCCTTTGTAGGCTCAAATCTCCAGGAGAAATCGATGCCGCCGTTGAAATTGTCAGCGCTCTCCACCAACGGTTTGGCCCCGCCGAATTCACCGAGTACCTTACCTGGCTACTTGGCAAGGGCATGGCCACGCCTGACAAGGCTATTCTAAAGAGTTTGCCGGCAGAAGTTCGCGAGAAGGAGGAGAAAGAGCGCATCACCCGCCAGCGTGCCCTCCTCAGGGTCATTACAGAGCTCTGGCTGGTTGGCGTGCTGAGGACCTTGGACGACGCTACCAAACCGGACGATGCAACCAAAGGTGCCGTCGGCAAATCAGTGGAGTTGAAGACCCGAGGCAATTCCAAACCCGGCGGCTCTTCAGACCCATTTCCGCTCGAAGTACTGAAAGATTTACTCGGCTATGATAGGGAGCACGCCAACTTGCCGTTGCTCGTCATCTTCGTCAAGGCTTTCAGCTGGGATATTCTGGGGATCCGGACAACCACACCTGAAAGTCGTAAAACCGGAGAAGATGACAGCCTGCCAACCAGCGAAGATACAACTGAACCCTCTGCCGAAGACCAACCATTCACTCCTCCGGAGCTGGCCGAGAAATTCAAGGAAATTCTTAAGAAATACCTTGACGACGTGGCCAATCACATTGTTCGTGATCAGAAATCGATCCATAGCCAAGCACGACGCAATGCCGAGGCATATGTCAAGTCTGGAGAGGTCTTTGAAGATAGGCAGGCCAATTATGAGAAGCAAGTAAAGGCTCAAGATAGGCTCGTCTCCAATGCCCAGGTGATAGCCGACGCTATCGGCGCGGAAATGCCAAGCCTGAAGGATTCCAACGATCCCCTTGCAGCCTCAAATAGCTCCATAGGTCTAGTCAAGACTGGTGACTATCTGCGGTCTATGGCTGATGGTGCCGGCATCTGGGAAGATGAAGATGAACGCCGGTTCTACGAAAATTTAGTTGACCTCAAGGGCAAGGTTCCGGCCATCCTTTTAGATGACGGCAAGAAGAAGAAATCGGAGACCGAAGAGCAGGCTGCCAAGAAGCCAGACTCGACTGAAGGCCCAGAAGCCACAAAGGCCCCGGAAGCCATCGACGATCAATCGATGGCCATTGCCAACAAGACTATTGGAGCCCAAGTAGATGCCATATTGGCACGGTTGCCTGACCTTACGAACAAAGATATTATTGATCAGACGGCTATTGACTTTTGTTTTCTCAATTCCAAGGCTTCTCGCAACCGACTGGTCAAGGCGCTGACAGAAGTTCCCAAAGGTCGGAGTGATCTGCTGCCTTCTTGGGCACGTCTGGTCGCTACGCTAGGGAGATATATGCCAGATGTCCCAAAAGGACTGGTCGACTATCTGGATGCAGAATTTCGTAGCTTGCAACGCCGTAAAGAAAAAGATTTCCTGGGCCAAGTTCGGCTTAGCAACATTCGGTATTTGGCAGAGCTCACCAAGTTTGGCGTTGTCCCCGAACATGTTGTCTTTCACTGCCTGAAAGTTAGCCTTGACGATTTCTCTCGCATGAACATTGAAATCCTGTGCAATTTGATCGAAAATTGCGGCCGGTATCTTCTCAGGAACCCTGAAACAGCGCCTCGAATGGCGAGTTTCCTTGAGACATTGCAGAGAAAGAAGTCTGTGCAACATATTGGCCAGCCAGAGAGAATGCTCATTGACAACGCCGTGTACCACGTTGACCCTCCAGAGCGACCTGCCATCGAGCAGAAAGAACGAACCCCGATGGAACTCTTTATTCGAAAGTTGATTTATGGCGATATGACTAAACGGAATTATAGCAAAATTCTAAAGCAGATTCGCAGGCTTCATTGGGAGGAAACAGAGGTACGTCTCTTGGTTCTCTCCTTTTTGCCTTCACATTCTCGTGACTCGGGTGTTACACTCTTTCTCTCACCCCTTGGGCTAATGCAGAATGTTCATATCAAATCTAGGTCGTTGCTATCTTGGAGAAAGTCTTTTCTAAACCTGGCAAAGTGAAATATGGAAATATCCATCTTCTCGGCATTCTTTTGAGCGCGCTCTACCGGCATCATCCACACTTTGTAGTCAAGGTCATTGATAACGTTCTTGAATCCATTTGCTTTGGGCTAGAGCAGAACGACTTCCGATTTTCCCAGCGCCGCGTCGCCGAGGTCAAGTACCTCGGGGAGCTCTACAACTACCGCATGCTGGAACATCCAGTCATTTTTGATACAATGTACAAAATTGTACTGTTTGGATACAGTAAGACTCTATTTCATCCCTTACTCGCCTCAGCTGGCTCGAAAATATGCAATCAATCTAACCTATTTATTCCATAGATGGACCCCCTGTTATGGGCAAACTCAATGTTTTTGACCCGCCAGACGATTACTTTCGGATCCGTCTCATCTCCATCATGCTAGAAACTTGTGGCATGTTCTTTAATAGAGGCGCCGCTGGGAAGAAGCTTGACTACTTCCTCTCATTTTTCCAGGTAAGCAAAGCTGACAAAGGGTGCTACAAGATGTGGATAACCTGACGCGCTTCCTAGTATTACGTCCATACGAAATCGCCTCTGCCATTGGACATTGAATTTCTTGTTCTTGATACCTTTGCACTGACCAGGCCTCAATGGAAATTCGTGGAAGATATTGAGGAGGCGACCAAGGCTTTCCAACTTGCTATCGCTCAGGATCAGAAGACCGCAGGAGTTGACAGAGTTGCTGAAGCAGACGACGCTACGAGCGGGCCATCGTCTGAAGATGAAAACGGCGACATGGACGACGTAGAAGCGGATGGCGACGGTGACGATGAAAGTGCTTCAGAGGAAGAAGAGGAAGCAGAGGTATGACGCAGCGCCAACTCGAGCAATCCCCATGTGACAGGTTTACTAAACAGTATCGTTAATAGGATGGCGACAATGGCTCTACCCATGAGAGCGAATACGACGAGGCCATTATTGTGACCAGGCAAGAGGAAGTTGTAGATCCCGAAGATGAAGCGGAATTCGAACGAGAATACGCCAAGATGATGTCGGAAAGCCTTGAATCTCGCAAGTTCGAGCGTAAACAGCTGTTTGATGTGCCGCTCCCTGTGCGATCTAGAAATCGTGAACAGTCCATGTCCACCGCCGGCTCTGGGGAGACGGGACAGAGCGGTACCATGGCATTCTCTTTGATGACAAAGAGAGGCAACCGGCAACAGGTATGTTATCATTGTTAAAATTTCTTCTCACTTTTGATTTTCAGCTTCTCCCGCTTTTTCCTCAGGGAAATACCTTCCCTAATGATTATCGCTCCCGTACAATATGATGTTCTGACATAGCCATTAGACTCGCACAGTCGAATTGCCTTCGGACTCGACGTTTGCAATTGCCATGAAGACACAGCAACAAGCAGAGAGAGAGGAACAACAGCGCATCAAAAACCTTGTGCTCAATTATGACCTTCAGCAGAGCGATGATCAAGATGGTGAGTGTAACTATCTACTTGCCTCATTTACCGCAATGCCTTGTACATGGGCTCACTGAAATATCTAGGCAACGAACGACCGGCAACATTCTATCATAATCGGGTAGATAAGCCGAACAAGGACCGCGGTCAGCGTGTTCGGAAACTGCAGCTTAGCGACGTGGATTGGTAGCAATGATTCCCGTATGACGGCGAGCAATTTCTATGACGACGCGCGATGTCGCCAGAACCGGACACGACGACCACCTGATTATTGGCATTATTGGCATACCGGCTTGCTTCTTTTCCGAAAAGTTGTATTGCATGGTGCCATGTACCGCGGACGGGCAGATCACGCTTGGCAATGAGAGAACAAAGACCTCCTAGGCATCACTCGCCTTTGTCATTTCACTGTTGCCCGATATGAAAGCCAAGTCTCAACGGAGATCGACTTACTCGACTCTAAGCGCGTCTAATTCAGCTACGCTTTAGGACTGTCGGGCTATCATCAAAGGGCAGCTGCTGCAGAGATGAGCGGCTACTCTTAAAGGGTGCAAACCCCAGGTGCTACCTCTATTAGAGCAATATCGATGAGCTTTGGCTAGGGCAAAGCAACGTTGTGGTTGACGGGCGCGATGGGAGGAGTGGCCTCTACCGGTTATTAGGCTATACTACTCGTACTGCCGAGCCCCGACGTCAAAGGCGCCAATGCAAGGGGCTTGGCACTGAAAGCCCTTGCATGGAAGCATTTACGTTACATGTAGGTACTTGTAGGATTTAAGGTATCATCACTATAGTAGGTAGACAGACTTGAAGGCTCGAGAAAAAGAATTTGGCGATGACCTGGTCCCTGCTTTGGTGGGCATATCTGCTTTGGTAGGTGTTGGACCAGGCCCTATTCATACATGTTGCTATTACCGGACTGGTTACCTGTACCGTTGTATGATGTGATAGTAAGAGGCACAGATGCGTGTCTGACTCTTGAACGAACCTCGGACTGATGTTATTGTTGCTATTTTAAGGCGTCCGAGCTCTGCATTAGGTACTCGTATGGTACCTTTACTTGCCGTGCTCCCGCCAATACCAGGCGACAATTGCATGTAACGTGCAGTGCAGTTCCGCATCGCTGCTGCCCTAGACCCAACGCAAGATTCGGAGCCTGGAAAGCCAAGAGGAATTTTCATCTTTTCTTTGTCCCTTTCCTCGAGACTTTTCTCCCTTGAAGTTTCATTCCTATTTCTTTTCCCTTCAGCCAACTGTTGCAGTTCAGCTCAGCCCCGATTGGGTTGTGGTTCCATATTGGGCCGTCATGACAGCAGTTGATTTGCAGCTGCCGGCCGACCTTAGTACCTGTATACAAGCAAGACAAGTTCCGCTGCTGCTGACCACTGCAGTTTCCGCGATCATTCTTCCCGTTACGACCAAATCTAGCAGGTGGTGGTGCACATCACTTGCCGCTCTATCCTATAAGCATCTTTTTGACGATCTTTTGTCTTACTTTGTTTCTCCCTCTCTTTCGCCTGAGGTTTACTCTACTCTGCTACTCGCTCTCTGTTTCTGCTTGTCGCTTCGCTTGCTATAGACTGGGCTTCGCATTTACAGCATTGATGGGGCTGCCGTGATATGCCGACGCTTGAGCCACATCTGCGACTTTTTGTCTTTCTTTTTTTTCCGGATTGCGATTTCATTGCTGGGTGCCACAAACAGTCTCGGCTCAGCCTCACCTTTAACAAAAGGTCTGACGGCTGGTAGCATGAAGGCTTAAAGCCGCTGCGATCGGGGATAACGAAGTCTTTTGTGCGAGAACGTTTGTGTATCTGTGATTTTGTCATGAAAGGGCCTAACAACCGTCCTTCGATCCTCATTTTGGCATGCCTCTAGACCAGGGTTTGGAGTAACACCCTGTTCTCAGCACAGGAATCTCATTATAACCATCTATTACTCGAGATAGTTTGCCGGGCGAGATGGCAAGCGACGCGGGTGGGCCAGAATGGCCCGTTAAAGATGTAAGTGATTCCTTACTATGTTCCAATATTACCACGAAGTCACAGATTATGGTGATAAATGACTAACAATAGAGTGGTTGTGCACCGATATAGATCGTTTATACGGCCATTGTTGGAGTCGTTATGATTATGGCGCTGCTGGAGTGGTTTCTCTGGCTAGCGGCCTTTGTCTATTGCTTGTACAAAGCATTCCGAAAGGCCGAACATTGGTCCATCAACGTCCTATGCGTTGTTGTCGGCATTGCGTTCGTGGCTTTCAGGTACGTCTCTTCATGGAGATTTATATGCAAACATAACAGCTACACCACACTTGCTGAGTTGGATAAACTACTGCTTGCTAATAATCATCTCATGTAGAGCCATCTTTCTCCCTATCATGGTGGTGACCTTGCCACTGCCAAGTCAAGTCTCCAAGTACTGGCCAGAATCTGTCGTCTCAGTTCTCCAATGGTTTGCATTCTGGAGCTTTTCTATCCTTCTTACCGTGCCTTGGCTCTTCTGCGTCTATCAACTTGTCACCAACCAGCTTGGACGCACAAAGCGCATGAAGCAAGTGCTCGACGATGTCACCGCGCCGAAAGTTGTGATTGTTATGCCATGCTACAAGGAAGAGCCTGATGTGCTTATCACAGCTATCAACTCGGTTGTTGACTGCGACTATCCTGCTGCTTGCATTCATGTATTCCTGTCTTTCGATGGCGACCAAGAAGATGAGCTTTATCTCAATACGATAGAAAAACTAGGAGTTCCTCTGACCATGGAGTCCTATCCGACGAGCATCGATGTCACATACAAAGAAGCCCGCATAACCATCTCCAGGTTTCCTCATGGTGGCAAGAGACACTGCCAGAAATCGACGTTTAAGCTCATCGATAGAGTGTACGAACAATATCTCAAGATGAATGACAATTTATTCATCCTCTTCATCGATTCAGATTGCATACTGGACAAAGTTTGCTTGCAGAACTTTGTTTATGACATGGAGCTAAGTCCCGGCAATTCTAGAAACATGCTGGCCATGACTGGCGTCATTACGTCGACCACGAGAAAACACAGCATTATCACCCTGCTTCAAGATATCGAGTACATTCACGGCCAGCTGTTTGAGCGTACAGTCGAATCCGGCTGCGGATCAGTAACATGTCTTCCGGGTGCCTTGACTATGCTTCGCTTTTCCGCGTTTAGGAGGATGGCCAAGTATTATTTTGCTGACAAGGCAGAGCAATGCGAGGACCTGTTCGATTTTGCAAAGTGCCACCTGGGAGAAGATCGTTGGCTCACCCACCTCTTCATGATTGGCGCAAAGCAGCGATATCAGATTCAGATGTGCACGTCGGCATTTTGTAAAACTGAAGCTGTACAGACCTACCGCTCCCTTATTAAGCAGCGGAGGCGATGGTTTCTAGGCTTCATCACGAACGAGGTGTGTATGCTGACAGACTGGCGGCTGTGGAAACGATATCCTCTCTTGGTTATTGTGCGCTTCATGCAAAACACCATCCGAACGACCGCTCTTCTCTTTTTCATCATGGTTCTCGCACTGATATCGACTGTTGCCAAAGTCAAAGACCTGCCGGTTGGGTTCATCGGAGTGTCGCTGGGGCTGAACTGGTTGCTCATGATATACTTTGGCGCGAAGCTTCGACGATTCAAAATATGGCTTTACCCACTAATGTTTGTCTTGAACCCCTTTTTTAATTGGTACTATATGGTGTATGGCATATTCACCGCCGGCCAGAGGACATGGGGAGGGCCGCGGGCGGATGCTGCCACTGCCGATAACAATACAACAGCACGAGAGGCGGCTGAGAAAGCCGAGATGCAGGGCGATGAGCTCAATGTGGTTCCCGAGAGCTTTCTGCCAGCGCGTGAGGCGCGAAAGGCGGCAGCTTCCAAAGGCGCATCCCCTAACACTACCCTTGGCCGCAAGAGGAGCGTTGTCAGGCCCCCTGATGGCGTTGACGGAATGTTCTCAGCCCGGAAAAAGACGCCGGCTGGGCTTTATACACACTTTGACGAGTCAGATGTTGAGATCGATACGCCCCTCGCATCCTCTACTACTCCATCTTCCTCGTGGGATGCAATGCGGGGAGGCTCTTTGGAGGGATTTGAGCTCAACGGACCCGGGACTGTTTCAGTGGACCAGTTCATGGGAGAGGAAGATAGGAGAAAGTATGCCATAGCCCAGCGGGCACAGGTTCAGCGAACGACCAGGCCCGGCACCGGACTAAGCAAGGAATCACCGGATGTAGAGCTTATTGACCTATCATCAGATCCGTAAGATAATGGGACGACTTGATTAAGATGGCTTTTTCACGAAAGAAGTCCAAGGGGAGAGAAAAGAAGACTATCCTTTTTATATAACACCGAGGCCGTTTGGTTATATCATTTGAACATACATTTTGATCTATATACGTTAGTGCCCATAGACACAAAGTACTACCCCCTTTTCTCTGGTTCTCTCTCACTTTCCCTGAGTTGACCAGAAAATGATTTATGACTGAGAATCACGTCAGTTAGACTAGAGAGCCTAATAAAGTGAACAATCGTTTTATTGCCGTCGAAAATGACTATAGATGTCGTCCAACGCCATGGGTTTCATTGCCTATTGTATCCATACTTGCATCCATGCTACGGAGTATGCACGATGGCTGGGATTTTCCGTCTTATCGGGCATGGCGGGGCTATCACAGGCTTTGAGGAGGGGCATCTGAAGTGACAAGGCGGATTGGCGGGGTAATTTTGTGCTTGTTTACCGTTGAAAGAGCAAAACGGTGCAAGCCACTGACCTAACAATGTGGACAAAGGAGGAAGCCTAATGTGATGGGCTCACCTTTGTAAAGACTTTCTGATGGTGGTTTGACAGGGTACTAACTTTACCAGCTTGCTGTCCAATAAAGAAACAGGGATAAAGGATACCTGCGTCGTAGGCAGAATAGATGTCTAACTTGTACCTAATATATAGGTGCCTGGGCAGCCTGTAACCTCAATGTTTAACAAGTACAACCCAGCGATTGGTAGTTGACTTGCTCTTGGCAGCGGTTATTGGGCTATTGGTTAGGTAACGGGCCAAGGCAGTGCCGCCCATCCCATTTGCTAATTCTCCTTGGCTGTGGTCAATCAGGCTTTCGGGCGCTCAGCTTTCTCGTGGAGTCTGGAAAATTCTGCAACATTCCATGAGGTACCTGCTGGGACGTGGCGGGGCGGCAGATCCGAGTACCCTTTTGCAGCAGATCGGCGGCGCAGATACATGCCCAGCAGTGCCCCGCGCCCGGCACAGGTACCTCAAGCGTCAAGAGGCTGCAGATTGCGGAACAAAAAAGATGCCTACAGGTATTTTAGCAGCTGCCAACGCACTAAATTTTCTTCAGGTTCGCATCAATTAGTACCTGATCTCACCGCCCACCACCAAGGGAGAAAGCCTGGCCTCCCAACTATTTTGCATCCCACTTTGTATCGCAACCGCCACTATCAGACCGGACCTCTACTAGGTTTTTTTTTCTTTGGTCCCTTTTGCTTTCTTTCACCTTTCTCGCTCCCCACCCTCAAGGCTCGATTCTTTTCCTGCCTTTCTTCCTCTCCGCGCAAACCGACCTCCTCTCCTTTTCATTTCTTTTTCTGCCTGGTCGGATCCTTTTTTTTGACTTGGGCCCCTCACTTGCGACCCGAGTGCGGCTGTATCGAGATTCTTTCAAAACGACAGAGATAAGACTGGCATCATGACTTCCGTCGTCGGTACGTTCCCTTCTGCCGCTCGTTCATTCTTATGCTTATTCTATACTGCGTCCCTCTTTGTTACAGATCAAAAAAAGTCTTCCTCTCATGCTGACCAACCCCTCCCTGCGGCGCAGGTGTCGATTTCGGAACCCTCAAGACGGTGATTGCTGTCGCGAGAAATCGTGGTGTCGATGTGGTGAGTGAATATCAATCCATGATGAAAGGATTCACCAGAGTTGGGCCCCAAACTGACCAAAGGAACTCCCTTCTAGATCACCAATGAAGTCTCCAACAGATCCACACCGTACGTCTCGCTACCCCCATAACTCCTGTTTCCATTCGTCTTATCAGCGATGATTGGAAACCTCCCCCCTATCACATGCAATCAGTTTTTGCTAACATTGCTGCGACACACAGATCTCTGGTAGGATTTGGACCCAAATCACGCTACCTCGGCGAGGCGGCCAAGACCCAGGAGATTTCCAACCTCAAGAACACCGTCAATTGCCTCAAGCGTATTGCCGGCCGCTCCTTCAACGATCCCGATATCCAGATCGAGCAGCAATATGTCACCGCACCCCTCGTTGACGTCAACGGACAGGTTGGCGCTGAGGTCAACTATCTCGGCAACAGCGAGAAGTTCACGGCAACCCAGCTCGTTGCCATGTACCTGAGCAAGATCAAGCAGACTACCGCCAACGAGCTGAAGCTGCCCGTTGCCGACCTTTGCTTGAGTGTCCCTGCTTGGTTCACGGACTCTCAGCGCAGAGCTCTTCTGGATGCTGCCGAGATTGCTGGCCTCAAGGTCCTCCGCCTCATGAACGACACAACTGCTGCTGCCCTTGGCTGGGGTATCACCAAGCTTGACCTCCCTGCTCCCGAGGAGAAGCCCCGCCGCGTGTGCTTCATCGACATTGGCCACAGCAACTTCACCTGCTCCATCGTCGAGTTCAAGAAGGGTGAGCTGGCTGTCAAGGCCACCGCCTGGGACCGCAACTTTGGTGGTCGAGACTTTGACAAGGCCCTTGTGGACCACCTGGCCAAGGAGTTCAAGGGCAAGTACAAGGTTGACATCAACACTCACGGCAGAGCCATGGCCCGTACCATTGCTGCCGCTGAGAAGACGAAGAAGATCCTCTCTGCTAATCAGCAGGCCCCCGTCAACATCGAGTCCCTGATGAACGACGTGGATGCCTCCGCCATGGTTACTCGACAGGAGTTCGAGGCCATGGTTGAGCCTCTGCTGGCTCGTGTTCACGTGCCTCTTGAGCAGGCCCTTGCCCAGGCCAAGCTCACCAAGGACGATATCGACGTTATCGAGATCGTTGGTGGTGGATCTCGAGTCCCTGTGCTCAAGGAGCGCATCCAGGCCTTCTTCGAGAAGCCTCTTTCATACACCATGAACGCCGACGAGGCTGTTGCCCGAGGCTGTGCCTTCAGCTGCGCCATCCTGTCTCCGGCTTTCCGAGTTCGTGACTTCACCGTTCAGGATATCATTAGCTACCCCATTGAGTTTGGATGGGAGAAGGCTCCTGATATTCCCGATGAAGACACCAGCTTGACCGTCTTCAACAAGGGTGGTGTCCTGCCTTCCACCAAGATCCTCACATTCTACCGCAAGCAGCCCTTTGACTTGGAGGCCCGCTATGCAAACTCTGAAGAGCTTCCTGGCAAAACGAACCCTTGGATTGGCCGCTTCTCTGTGAAGGGCGTCAAAGCCGATGGCAAGGAAGACTTCATGATTTGCAAGCTCAAGGCCCGAGTCAACATTCACGGTGTGCTGAATGTCGAGAACGGCTACTACGTCGAGGACCAAGAGGTCGAGGAGGAGGTCAAGGATGACGACAAGAAGGAGGACGACAAGAAAGATGCCGATGTGAGTATTCGACTAGATTCGGGAGATGACGGGGAAACCAGCAGGTAAAAAACTTAACTAACACCGTTTTCATAGGCTATGGATACCGATGGCACAAAGACTCGTAAGGTCAAGAAGCAGGTCCGAAAGGGCGATTTGCCCATTGCTAGCGGCACTGCATCACTGGATGCTAGCTCAAAGACCGCTTTGACCGAGAAGGAATCCGCCATGGTTATGGAGGATAAGCTTGTTGCTGATACCGAGGAGAAGAAGAACGAGCTCGAGGCCTACATCTACGATCTCCGAGCCAAGCTTGATGAGCAGTACGCCGACCTCTCCAGCGAGGACGAGAAGTCTGCCATCCGAGCTAAGCTCGAGTCCACAGAGGTATGTGCATGGCGTGCTCCCTCTAACTATGTTACGTGGGACTAGTTACTAACCGAAAGAATAGGACTGGCTGTACGACGAAGGTGATGATGCCACTAAGGGTGTCTACGTCTCCAAGATGGAGGAGATCCGCGCTCTTGCCGGCCCCGTCGTTCAGCGACACTTTGAGAAAGTCGAGGCTGAGCGCCGTGCCGTCCAGGAGCGCGTCGAGGCCGAACAGGCTGCCAAAAGAGCCGCTGAGGAAGAGGCTCGCAAGGCTGCTGAGGCCGAGAAGGCGGCCCAGGGAGGATCAGACCAGGAGATGAAGGATGCCGATGCTCCCACCGAATCCGAGGAGGCTGGCGACCCTAAATAAACACCACGCGGTGGTAGAGAGATGATGATATCTCCGGAGAAGGATATACAGTATAGAAAAGTTGACTTTTGGTAAAATACGGAGGGAGGGACTGTCATGAGGAAAAACATGTCTACACATTCTAGATCCATTTATATCATATGCCCCAAGTAGTTATGACCTTTTTATACACATGAAGGGAATTCTTTTTAGATTTTGACCACTTCAAGTCGGATAGCAGTAGCAAGACAGATTGTTCACACCAAACACTCTTGAAAAGGGTTGTCCAATGCAATCTCCATAACTCTCGTGTTCGCTAATACCTGTACCTATTTGAGCTTGAATTGAAACCTATTCCAGCCTTTTTGTTTACACTCCTCGCGAGCATGTGTTCATCTCTCTCTAATGACAGGTAACACACCAATTTTGTAGAAAGGAGTTTTTTTCTTTCTCCTCTCCAACCGCAACTATCTCTTTTATACTCGATACAAATGATTGTCGCTTCTTTTTTTGACAATCTAACTAGCCGCAACCCCTCCTTCCCCTTTCCATGCGATTTTCCTGCGACCAAACAAACAACGCATATAAAGAGAGGCAAAAAAAAGTGTTTTAACGGTCCAAAAATAAATAAAAGAAGTAAGAAGAAGAAAAAAAAGACAAAATGCTTTTGTGAGAACAATTGAAACAAGAGCGGGGAAAGATGTTAACACGGCAGATTTGAACAAAGCTAATTTGTCTTTCATGTCAGAGCTGTGTCGCCAGAGAGAGACTAGATTGGCTGATGAAGCGTGAGCGAAGCAGAGAGTAAATAAAAGATTCACTGTTCTTTTTCTTTCTTTATTCTCTTCCTATATCAACCGCTTTAGATATCAAACAGGGGCTTCAGCTTGATAATCAGCTGCCACTCCTCGTTGGTCACCTCCTTGCGGTAAAACTCCTTGAGGGTGTCAATGCTCTTTCGGGAAATCTGGCTGTAGAGCAGGTCGGCCTCTTCCAGGTGTCGGCCGTAGATGGGCTGGTGGCCACCCATTTCAATCTTGACGGCAACGGAAGGCTGGCCCTTTTTGCAGACTGGGATTTGCTTGTGATCTCGCTCAATGGATGTACTAAGAATACACTGCATCAGTAACTGAAAATGACAAAATGGGGAGAAAGAAAAGGGGAGAGGGGGTTGGGGGTGTGGTTGCACGCAGCAATGAAACTTACACTCTACCAAGGGCAACGACTTCTTTGGCATTTGTCGTGGGGTTGGTCTTGACAGCCGCAATCGGTGCATTGATCTTGAGCTGACCCTCAATGACATCCACACCAATGACAATAGGAGCAGTCTTGTTGAAAATAGCAACCGGCTTCAGGACACAAGGGAAGACTGCCAGCATCTTGGACTCTTCCTTCTTCTTCTCCAGCATCTCATCCATGTGCTTGGTGAAGTTGTCAAACAAGTGATAGATGATGTCGGCGGTGAAAATCTTGATTCCCTGATCTTCAGCGTACTGTTGAGCTTCTTTGTCGACCTTGACATCGAAACAGAGCATCACAGCGTAGTCAGGTGCCTTCTCCAGCATGATACCACACTGCATCACATCACGCTTGTAAACTGGGCCGATACCGACGTTGGCGACGGGAATCTTGCAGTCCTTGAGGAAGTCAAGCAAGGCTTCCAGTGAACCAAGAGTGGAGGCTTGCACACTGACACCACGGCCAGAGGTTTCGACTCTGCTAAGAAGGTTTGCCAGATCGGACTCGACCTCGTCAACGATGTCATCCTCGTCATCATCGGGACCGACCACCATCAGTCTGGAACCAGCAATGGCTCCTTCTAGGCCAGGAGCGCTAATCTTGACACCAAGAGCGGCCTTGACCTCCTTGTTGTGCACATACGCCGATTTGAGACGCAGTTCACGTAGCGGCGCTGGAGTCAGCAGAGCTCTGATATTTGTCACAATAGCACCTTCAGTACCACACAACACGATTCGGTCACCTTCTCTCAAGATACCGTTGGACAGGATGACATCAATGGTCATACCGAAACCCTCAATGGCCTTGACTTCAAGGACTGTTGCCTGCACCTCGGACAGGTACATGAGAGAGCCAACCATACGCTCTTGGGTGAGCTGGAGGATAAGCTTCAGCATATCTGGGATACCCTCACCGGTGTGCGCTGATGTTGGCACTAGTGAGACGAACTTGGCCATGGACTTGTTCTGGTAGAAGAGCTCCGAGTTGAATCCCTGCTCGGCGAAAGCCAGCTTGGTCTGCTCCAGACGGTTCTTGAACTCATTCTGGACGGCCTTGCTCTGAAGCGCCAGACTGTCCTGGAAGCCGTTGTTGTCAACCTTCTTCCATCCGTAAAGTCTGTCAATCTTGTTGAGCGCCACAATAAAAGGCGTTTTCCTCTCACGAAGCATGCGCATGGACTCCAAAGTCTGTGGCTCAAGTCCGTGCATGATGTCGACGACTAGAATAGCAATGTTACACAGGGATGAACCACGAGATCGGAGGTTAGAGAAAGACTCGTGGCCAGGGGTATCAATGACAAGGAGACCAGGCACCTTGAATTCGAACTCGTTATCCTTGTTAACGACAGCCGTCTTTTGTCTGATGGCGTCGACGGGGAAGTATGTAGCACCAATCTGCTGAGTGATACCTCCGGCTTCGCCTTCCTGAACGTTGGTCTGTCGAATCTTGTCGAGAAGCTTGGTCTTTCCGGTATCGACGTGTCCCAGAATACAGCAGATGGGAGAGCGCAGGTTATCCTTGGATCGGGCGGCCAGGGCGGCCTGGTGAGCCTTCTCTCGGCGGTCGGCAGCCTCCTTTTTGCGTTGAGCCTCGAGTTGCTGGGCTTTTGATACGGCCTCGTCTTCGGAGTCGTCCTCTTCGGATTCGCTTTCGTCTTCGTCTTCCTCGTCTTCCCCCTCCTCCTTCTTAGCTTTGGCAGCAGCCTTCTTTTCGGCCTCCTCATCGGAATCTGCATCCCAGCTATCCTTGACGTCCTCATCTCCGCTGGCAGCAGCAGCAGCTTCCCAGTCATCTTCAACGTCGCTCTCTTGGGCAGCCTTGGAGGCAGCGGCCTTGGCCTCAGCGGCGGCCTTCTCCTTCGCAGCCTTTTCCTCTGCCTCCTTGAGGGCCTTCTCGGCTTGGATTCGAGCTCTCTCGGCGGCCTCAGCCAAAGCAGCCTCTTCATCCTTCTGTAGATAGGGGGAATTGATCATTAGTGGCAAATATTGGTAAAAGAGAGGGAATGGCTTCTTACCTTGTCATTCTTGCCTCTCTTCTTCTTGCTGTCGTATACCACCTTCTTCTTAGGTGCGCCCTCTTCTTCCTGAGGTCCAATCTTGATGCCTGCCGCAAGCATCTGTTGGAGCTTCAGCTCGTTTCGGGCCTTCTCCTCTTTCTGCGCCTTGGTGAGGAATTTGCCCTCTTTCTTGAGCTGCTCAATGCGCTCCTTTTCGCGCTGCTTCTTCAGTGCCTTCTGTTCTTCCTTTTTCTTGTTTTCCTCAGCCAGTCGCTTCTCTTCTTCCTCGGCCAAGGCCTTGGCTTCAGCTTCCATTCGGACAGCCTCCTCTTGTTTGCGGCGCAACTCCTCCTGTTGCTTCTGAATCAGGGCAAGATGTGCCGGAATCTTCTTCTTTTTGCCTCCCGTCTCAGCGGGAGCCGGCGCAGGAGCTGCCTCCTTTTCGGGTGCGGGCTCATCTTTGGCAGTCGTCTTTGCCGGCTCTGGGGCTTTCGCGGGTGCCGGAGTCTTCTTCTTCGCAGCCTAAATTCATCATCATGGTTAGAAGTCGAAAATGGCCAATGGTGTTGATTGATGGGGGATTTCGAACCTGTTCCTTCTTACGCTGCTTCTCACGCTCCTTCTTTAGCTTTTCCTTCTCCGCCTTTGTGAGTATCCTGCCAGGCTCTTCAAGGTCATCCTTGTCATCGTCCTTCGCAGCCGGTGCTGGAGCAGGCTTGCCCTTGCCACCCTTGCCTTTCTTCTGCGGCAGAGCAAACTCATCATCGTCTAGAGATGCCTCAACCGGTGCTTTGGCAGACAGATCCTCCGCCACGGGCTCAGGTGCCGGCTCCTCGTCCACAATGCCCTTCTTCTTGCGCTTCTCCTTGTTCTTGCGCAACATGGCCATCAGACCGCCGCCACCAGCGGCCTCGCCATCCTCGCCATTCTGCTCGGCGGCAGGAGGGGCATCACCAGCCGGGGCGATGCTCTCTCCCAATTCCGCCTCCCAGTCCTCCTGGGCATTCTTGTTCCCCTTCTTCTTCGGCGCCATGTTGGTGGTTTTTCGTCGGTGGTGGAAAGGGCGAAAAAAAGAGGAGGGGCAGTGCAATTAGAGAAGAAACCCTAGAAAATGAAATTCAACCCCGCAGTGTTGAAGAGAATGGGGGGAATGGGCAAAGATGGTTCTCTAAAAGAAAAGAAGAATGGGAGAACAATGCAATGGGAGAAGAAGAAAAAATCAACAGAAAAAAAACGGCCGGAGATAATACTGAGCTGTCCCGCACTAATCGCCCGCCACTTGTTCTGCCCGCCCGTAAATTGTTTGTGGTGGTTAGACGAAAGCCTTGTAAGTGGGCTGGTCTTTAGGCTTCGACTTTGCGGGGCAGATGGAGACTTTCTGCTTGGCATCTATTACTGTATATGGGACACGAAAGTTTGATCGCTTCACTATTTGCTTTGGTCTGCGGCGTACGGAGTGTCTGTCATCTGCTGCAGTTTTTTATGTTAACGGCAGAGACGAGCAGATGGGTGTTTTGCAGCCATTCAGTGCTAACCAAGACATGTGCACATATATGAATCACAGACTTCCTATTCGAGGCAAATTTTGCACAAGTATTGGACCCTCCAACAACCAAGAGTACCCAGTATACTTCTATTCTAGAGGCAAGATGATGAGAAAAATCAGCAGACTTACTTGATATCATCGCTTGTGAAAATACCAAACACCAAAATCGTGGTCATATACAACACCAAGGCTGCTCATCCGTTCTCGCCTATACCTATTCATGCCATGACAAAGTTGACAAGCCTTTACAATGCCGGCGAGACGAGAAACTTGATAATATCATAGCCCAGCTCAACGTATTTTTCTCGCCGCCTCGATTCGCCCTCGTTTTTGAAGTCAGCAGTGTAGCTCCCTCCCCCTATAGCATCGAGGTGGCTGCAAAACAGTGCAAAATTGGCCTCGGATCTCACAAGCCGTTCCAAGATGTGCAAAGTCAAACACCGCTTCAGCATGTCTCCGTCAATGTGCATCATCTTCGGACTTGGTTGCAAATCCGGATCCATGATATCCACCTTTTCATCGCGATGCAGTATATTGAGTGAAACAATACCGCCTTTCCTTTGCGCCAATGTCTGAACCGTGAATAAGAATCGCCATAGCTCAAAGCTCAGTAGCGAAAATTGGCGCAATGTGCCGTCTAAGGAGACACCAATGATATCAGATCCATCATGAGTGATCGGCAGTGTCCCATAGTGTCGTTGAGTATTGTCTACGAGCCATGGTGGCCTGCTGTGGGCTCGCGCGAATCTCCTCACCGAGGATGCTAGCATGCCTTCGAATACGACGTCAAGTTCCTTGTCGCGTTGCCCAAAGGGAACCCAAACTCCTGCAATGACACCTCCTTGGTCCGATATGAGAGTCAAAGGGAACCGACCGTGGCCGTCTGTTGGGTCACCAATGTCTATCATATGAACCGATCGCCTAGAGACCTGGTCGCCATGGATGAGCTCCATGGACTCTTCATCTGCTGTGGACTGGTAGTCAATCACCTCCAAAGAATGCAGAGCTGTCAGCGCAAAAAGCTTGCCCCTTGATACACGTAGAGATATTGCTGGGGAATCTAGCTGGAATTCTTTCACAGGCTTCAGTTTTCTCTCCACAAGGTCGAGGACTTCCCAATGGAGTGTGCGGTCGACGCAGTAGATCAGTCCTTCTGCATCCCCGGTGATCGAGAAGATTTCACCATGAAGACGTTTTTTGTATCGTGTCCAGTATCTTAATTGTCTGCTGTCAGGCTCACCCGGGCGAGCATAAAACTTTTCCGTGGATACGATAATGAGCTCTCCGCCTTGTGTAGTTACGAGAATAAAGGGAAACGTCTTCCCATCTTTCTTGTACAACCATTCATGCAACCCAAATATCTTATCGCCGAGACGGCCAAGGCCAGAGATATATTCAACGGGGTTTCGATCCTTGTCGGTTGCAACGGAGATTATCAGTCCCGTCTCGGGGTCAATGAACAGCAGAGTGGACCTATCCTCCATAACCATTGCAACAACCAGGCAGTTCAACGTTTGTGAGAATATGATCCTTGTTGGAGTACCCTGAATAGGAATAGACCTGGGCACATTTCCAATGTGAGGGCCAAAGTCAGCCATGAGCAGCCTTGAGCCAGCGAGTATCAGAAGGGATGTATGCCCATCTTGCCCGGAGAGATTTTGTGGGATCCTGTAAATAGAATGGATCAGAGGCGAGGGCATTGCCGGTTCGCTCGAATCTGTTGGCCATATAAAATGTTTGTTGGTAAATTTGCAATCTTCCGAGGAGAAGTTGCTAAGCAGGATCAGCTTGTTATCACAGCAAGCAAAAGCCGTCGACGTTCCAGTGTAGGGGATTGAGGATGGAAACACGTCAACCCGTGATCCTCCAATGACTTCAGAACTCCATACCAAATTGTCTGGAGATTGATCAGATATTCGAGCAGTGATAAGGCTTCCGCAGCGAGTTCCCAGAACAAGATCAACCTGGTCCGCGCCCTGGTGAGCTACCGAGATGCTCGTCAGTGCCTCGAGTTCAGCAGCACTACCTTCGTTCTCTGTATCATGTCAATCAAAGTTCGTTGAAGCGATGTCAAACGGGGTGCAAGACGTACCATTGTTAGATTTGATGGGTTTTGACACAATAGCCTCCCCAGATGTTGAGTAGATGGATAGCCATGGTACCCCATTGTACATGGAAGCAGCGACAACGAAATTGCTGCTCGAGACGGTGAATATGGAAACGCATGTTACTTCGCCCTGTGCATCCCAACTCCCTATCATGGAAAAATTGATGCCCTCGGCTTTCATAGCATGCAGCCGAGAGACCTCTCCAACGTGTGTGGAGAATACGGCGGTATGTCCAATGCAAAAAGCACTTTCTGCAGTGGCATTGGGTATACCAAGGACTTCTGCAATGACACATCGCGAACTGGCCAGCAAGTCAGAATTATGGTTGAAAATAGCCACGAGCCTAACAGAACACCTTACCTTGCCGTAGGAGTAGCCACATTAATGGAAACTTCAGTAATTTGAACTATAGTCTCCGATACTTGAATAGTATGAAGAGTCCTGGACGCCAAATCGAACGGCGTGTCTTCGGCTGGTACGGCATCGACTTGATCCAGGCTTTCTGAGAACCGAAGAACAACTGATGAATGCGGCAGTGCCAATAGTCCATAAAGCTCTCTCTCGTTGTTGCGCTGTGCTGTAAACGTCCATGCTTGTCTAATGGGCTCACCCGTTTCGATATCCAGTCCAATCCGAGCCTGTATTCCCCATCTCCATTGTACTACACTTCCTCTAAGGCCTCGACCAGATGCGGTGAAAATGCTGTCTTGTTTGCGCATCTTGTTTCTTTTTTGCGTTGTTGACCTGGACTGCGCTGTTTGAAGATCCATATGGTTTCCGTGCCAGCTTGAGTATTCGTTCGTCGTTGTCATATCAACGACGGGAGACCAATTGGGGAGGATGCTAACCTGCTGGAGATCCTCACGAGGGGCGAGCTAAAAGGGAAAGAAAACCCGCAATGTCAAAATAGCTCACGATATATCTGATACAGCTCAACGAGAGCTTACCTTCCAAATGCCGCCCGGGCCAGAGTCTCCGCCAATCATGAGAACGTCGGAAAAGATGTCATACGCCAACGTGAATGCCGTGTCAATATTGGCGCCTAGGCATCCAACATTGGTCACCGAAGGGAGCAGTTCAGTTGCGTCAATTTCGATATGAATGATTGCGCCATCTTCACGGGCCAGATAGATAATATCTGTTTTTTCAAAGTACTTCTTCCGGCGAAAAGGCCTTGCCCAGGCGACCCAGAGCGGCTCGCCAGTACCATGATACAACGGAGTGCGCGCAGGAGGCTGCGTCGGCAACGATTCGAATTCAGGCGAGCCCGAAAGCGCATACTTTACAATTCCGATATGGAACTGAGAAACGGCGAAAAAGGCTGTCTTGAATCTGATTGGAATAAGCAGCAATGGCATCCTATGCTCCTTAGGCAGTCGGGTGCCAGTCCTTTCTTCAGCGAAAATGAGCTGGAGGTCTTCGCCCAGCTCCCATTCATACGTTGCCATTCGAGAAACAGGGGGTCCACGACTCCTCTCCCTTCGAGCCACGATCAAAATCAAGATGATATGATAGTCATCCTCACGGCGAGGGAACAAGAACTCCAATTTGTGGATGGCTCCGCTCACAGCACGGATGCGTATGGATCTGATGGGTTCGATAGACCCTAGCTCTGTGTACTGGGCATTGAGCTCTGACAATGGCTCCAACTCGTAGACCACAAAGATGCCTTCTGGACTCGCCGCAGCCATATATCGCGAAGATGGGTCCACGGCAAGCTGGTATCCCAAGTAAGGCAGCAGTCGCGGGTTATCATATTTGGTTATGACAAATTCCAGCGTGTGGTCAGGCCCCTCTCTGAGAAAGAGAAAAAGCAGCTGACAAGACTCCAGCATCAATACTAGCAGCTGTGGTGGAAGCGAGCGACTTTGGAGGTCGTTAAAAATCCCATGCGCACCAGGAGATAGAGGAGAGGACGGCGGCTCTGGTTTAACGGCGACGCCGTATGGGTCATCGTCTAAGCCATGCTCCAGGTTGTCGCCGAGAACAACAGCGTTTCGAATTCGGAAACCAAAGTCAGACTTGCGTATAACATCATGGACCTGGCCATCTCTCCCAAGTTGACTGATTTGGATGAAATTTTCCTGATAGATGTCAGCCAGAGAAGCGATGGGATAGTATTAGAAACTCCACGACTAGCCTAGGACAATGTGACTTGGACGTAGTAGAATGGCTTGTGAAGACAGAGGAGGCTTACCCCAATGAAGGCAATATCATTGTGGGCGCTGGAGCGCAGTCGAACGGGAAGCACCCATCGAACCACAGGGCTTTCAACAATGGTCTGGGATAGAATCCCGCAGGCGGGGGGTTGTGGTAGGGGTTCAGAGGCCAACTGTGGTGCTGCAGAAGCCTTCAAGGCAGCTTGCAGGTTGACAGTTTCAGTAACCCATTCACCATCTCGCAGAACTCTAGTTTGGAAGGCCATGCTGTGATTATCTTATCACAACATCATCCAGTTCGCTGTGAAGATAGGGGGGACTAGGTGAAGCAAGTGACTCAAGGTTGGTGGAACTCTCTTTCTGCTTGCACTAGTCAACTGGGACGGCGTATGGTTGGAATGAGCGTATAATATCAGGACAAGTCACACAGCCAGAAGCGCATTTTACTTGTTGCTTTGACTCAGTGGGACAATGTCGTGATCATATCGGCCAACGGCTAGAAATAAGACGAATAGTGATGCTAGTGCAAGGCCGGGCTGAGCTTAGGCACTCTCTGATGACGCCGATGTTGGTACGTGCAGTGCTCACAGCGTTTCTCGGTCTAACTGAGAGGCGATGAAGGCGCTTATGCCTGGTCTTGAAGAGAGCATTTACGCCAAGCCAAAGGCAGTGGCTCGGGCTAGAAGCGACAGAGTGAGCGGTTTTCAGGCGAGTCACGGCTAAACCAGGCGAGATTTTCGGGAAAAGGAAAACAGAGGAAGCCCAAAGAGAAAAGCAGGCCAAAGGATGAATGAGAAAAGCTGGAGGCAGCAGCTTGGAGGTGCAGAGGAAGAGCTCACTGGTGGCTGGCCTAAGCAAGATGGGTAACGTCAAAAACAGACCAAAGACGTCTCGGCCAACCTGCATGTACCAGTTACAGAGGTACCGTGCAACTCGGGTTACTTACGGAGCAGAGTACCTAGAAGGAATTTGTTACAAGCAACGGCCAAGGTGCGCCCGCAAGTACCAGAGCTATTCCTCAAGGACGGCATCAAAGTGCCAGAGCGACGAAGAAGCTGTCTGCCATACACTAACAATGTACCTCGAGCTGTACAAAATGTGGAGTGGGGCCGCGGTTGGGTGCGTGTATCCACCACTCGACGCTACCCACTCTCATGTACTGCACCAACATCAACTACAGGCTGTACCAATACTAAGCGATACATGGGTAAATTTGATATATGACTCGGCTCTGAGCCTCGCTCATCCCAGTGTACATATACAGGAGTATTTGGCGGCTGTTGCAGACATGAAATTGGTTGGCTATAAAGCGGGATATCTTCAGTATCATTCAAAGTTGGACGACCGATTTGAGTGGGAGAACCAAATTTCATGTGTAATTGGGCACATCTATATCCGTCTACTAACTTAGTATGCAGTAGTAGGGATGCAGACAAAATCCTCCCCTAACATACAGGATCTAGTAGAAGCAAAGCAAAGCGGTCAGCTGTGTCCTCTTCGTTATATATACCAGTACCTAAATGCTACCTAGTACGATCCTTCGAAAGTACGTATTACCGTGGCTATGTATGTCTCAGTTGTGAATGTCACCATAATGCCAAGAGGCAATACATGTCGTAAATCGTGGCCAGCATATCCCTGACAAGCTGACCTCCATAATTGTAAATTCGTAAAGTAAGGTAGTCTTGAAACGGTCTCTAAAAGCAAGTACCTTAGGGTTGCTTATATCAATATAGTTGTTAGCACTCGAGTCAGCCTCCCACATTGACTAGTTACTGTATCAGGCATCTAATTTGGGAGAAAATACTTGTGGCCTGAGTTCAAGTTTACTAACTTAACCAGATCCATTCAAATACGGGTAACAAACACAGATAGCTATCTGTTATCATTCGCTGAAAAGACACAAGCATTAGTCTCTTTTCTTGCATTGGAACAGTGATCAGCAGCGTGGCAAGTGGGTAAAAACAATGCTACGACACAGGGTCTTTGAATACCTAGTAAGTGAGGGTTTTCTTGGTTTATGGTGTAAAACACGGGTTTAGCCGCCACGTTGTGGGTAGTGACGGGTCAGATTTGGGCGTAAGGGGGGGCACATCATAGGCCGAATGCTCACTTATAGAATCTCCATCATTCGATTCGACTTTTCCTACAGCATTCCCTTTCCTCCCTTGGCTAATTTGATCCCATTACTACAAAGTACATGCAACTTTGAACAGGTAATTCATTGGCGTGGGGTCTTTTCTCCCTGGCTTCCCTGCCGCCCTCAATGATGAACGTGGCACGAGTGAACGGAGCCTTTATGCATGCCCCTCCTCATCCTTTCTTATCACTGACTGAGGGGTAAGAGTCAAAGAGTGTCTCTCTGGTCTCCTTGCAGAGATCTCGAGTCATGCATACATGTACTGTTGCGGTACATCTCGGCTACTTCGCGTACCCGAAGATAGCATCTTGAAAAAGCAATTGTCAGCTTTTCCCCAGACATGCTAAATAATCATGGAAATTATTGATGGATTTATTACATACAACTGACGAACCCAACTCAATAAACTAGCCATAGAAGTTTGAACACGATTGAAAGAGTCTTTTCAAACTAGTTTCAGTATCCATGTTGTACTCCATTTCTCAAGCAAAATTGTATGTATGTAGCAAAGATGAAGATAACTCATTCATGTCTACATTGACTTCGCATTAATGGAAGCTTTGGGATCATGTTTCAATTAGAGAGGATGGGAGAAAACGAGGAGAAAACGAAATATCTGTTCGCCCAAGGACGTATCTAGACTTCTCGAGCCTAGAACCATTCACTTCCACCCTACCGAAAACCAGGACCAATCATTTACATAGTGGCTGTTGACTAGGCATTGCGCGTATATGTAGGTAGGTATGCAGCATAGATGCAATGAGACATCAAGTATGACGGCGCTTGTTACATATAAGGTAGGGTAGCACTGCTAAATTTCCACTTCCATTAACATCAACTACTAGCTATGAATCTACCACTCGCATCTAGCATGGGCCGATGAAGCACCGTTTCTTGAATCTCTTCACATCTCATCATGGCTTCCTATGGAGACTATTGCCAACCACTTGCTGCAGCCTTCCCTGGCCGTCTCCACTCGGTGAGCAATGAGACAAGGATCTGAAGCTCAAAGGGTGCAGAGCCTGGCCAACCAGCGGTTCTCATTGGTGGGGCTTTGCGAGAAGACGGGCTTTGCGCGTTGTTGTGGTTTAAACCTGGTTCCCTGCCTACCAGCCTTTAGAAATGCAAGTATGTCGCCATATTCAAGTAGTCACAGTACTAAGGCAAAACTTGGGTTGCTGAAGAATATAGCGTACGTATGGGGCACACTACATGTATGTATTCCATGAAAGACAGGGCAGCCTGCAATTATTAACCAAGTAGAAGCCTTGATAAAGTCTCCTAGCTTTGGATTAACGTTGCGAAGATTCTTAGCCCAACATCTGTGGATTTACGTACATACCTAGATACTCCGTTTAGTTATCTTTTTTCACACCCACCGCATGTGCCTCCAACAACTAATAATATTACTAGGTTATATATTCGCCCAAGCTTGTATACCCTTACTACCACTTCCCCGACCTGCTGTACTTACTAAATAACAAGGCTGTTATAAGAATTGTAATTTTGATACAGAAGATTGAGGACTTTCCAGTTTACTGCCAGTTTGGCGTTCTTTCGATGCCCTAGTTCTACCATCAGGCGACTACCTACATGTACTAATGTACTTTACCCTGTCGAACGAAGAATTACATTAAGAGCAAAAGCAACTAGCAAACCAGCAACTACTCGCCCAGATTCCACTGACTACGGCCACTTTAGAAAAGCTCGCACCACTGGATGAAGAGCTGGCTCAACTTTCTGATAGTATCTCAGCTCACGGGCCCCTATTTCTCCTTGACCTAGGTAAGCATCTAAAACATCTCCAACTTCATATTCGCTATATTATACTATCTTCCTCCTATTGTATTACATGCCTGAATCCTCCTGTCAGCTGTAGGAAAATTCGAACAATTCGAGGCTGCCCACCACGCCCACACGATACCTGCTGTTGTATCCATTCATCTGCCAATCCCTCAAACCCAATCCCCCCTTTCTTCCATTCCTCCATCATATCAACCCATCTGCCACTCTCCGAGCTCTGCCTCCATTCAGCCATCTCCTCGTCAATCACCATCTTCCCCAACTTACCACCTGCTATTACTAGCAATGCCGCAACCGTCTGCTTTAATACGTCTGTTCCACGACATCTCCCCCACTCAGCCTCTCTCCTACCCGATTTCCTGTCATCTCTTGATATAGGTTGGCATACTGCCACTGGGAACCTGCATGTCTGGCAGGTTCCGTAGCCTTCATCTGCCTCTTTATCTTCGCCCTCGTCTGCATCTGCATCTGTCCCTTCTTTCTCTTCTCCATCAAGACCCGATAGCTTGTTCACAAGCGTTCTAAATCTCTCAGACTCAACCCACATCTCACATACTCTCGCCGAGTGTGTATAACATAACTCGCTCCAAGCATATGCCCTGCATAGCTGGCACTGAATTGCTCCCTCGCCCCATTCCTGAATCCTTGCCTGAACCGCCCACCAGTATGAATCCATATCCGTATAGCGCTTTAGTTCCTCTGCGGCATCGTACAGAGCATCTTTGATATATCCTTCATCTGCAGAGTTAATATCCATCTTCATCTTCTCCCTTCTATGCCGCTTCTGGTTTCGTCCTGCTGCTGCCACGTGGTTGACAGTCGAGTCCCAATCATTCCACTGCTGCAGGCTTAATGCGTTTAACTCGACCTGCCGCCTCTCTATTGCTTTGAGCACCCATGCTTCTTCCACCGCCATGTCCAGCTGGTAAAACACCCGCAGCATAATCATCACCTGCCGCGAATCCCACCACATCGGCGACATGAGCCATTTGCCCACTTCTAGCCCGTCCAGGTCCAGCTTGCTGTTAAACTGGGTTCGGCTGCCCTCTTGCCAAATCTTTACTTGTTGTAGAAGAGTTATCCCAGACGGCAGCTGAAACGTTAACATCGCTGATACTGCATGTATTACCACTAGGTAGAACCTGCACCACTCATCGTCTATCCGATGCCATGCCCTGTCATCCCCACGCCGCTCGCCCTCTCCGTCTGTTTTCTCCCACATGGGACATCGGGATCGCGGCAAACAACACCCGCCGTACCACGGAACCTCTCCGTAGCCTCCAATTCCTCTGTCTTGAATATCGACTAGTGTTTCCCGAAGACGAGACTCGATAAGGCACGCCATCTCCTTCGCCGGCCTTTGGCATTCAGACATTACGTGCTTGTTGCAGGTTATGTCTCGGTAAAGAAAGCAAAGCGGGCATCTGACAGCCCACCGCTCCAGCTGTTGCTGCAATGCTTTCCCGTCATCGTCGAGCCTCCGGTCATCCTGCCAATCTCTCCACCTCCTGGGGTCATGCCGCCTCATGTCCGGCTCGAGGTACCACTCATACCATTTGAATAAATCATCCTCTGACCACGCCCCAATTGATTTGGCCGTTTTATAGTGAATCAGCGAGTTCTCCAGTGCGCCTTGCAGCACACTGCTTGCACGTGCCGATTCGGGTGATCGTTGTATAAGAGGGAGCTCTCGTAATGGATGATGGTGATAAAGTTGCCGACGCTGGTGAGGGTAATTGGAGCTCTTTCTAGTCTCCTCTCCTCCATCCTCCACCCGTATTCGACTCAATGCCGTGCTAGAGTTGGCATCTGGTTGTGTGCCTGCGGTTGAGTAGATAGGGAAATAAATCGATGCGAGAGTTGCCTTTGGGCGTTTATTTGCCTTATGGAGCTGCTCCTTATCTAATGCCCGTTTGGACATTGTTGCCTTCTGGATTGGCTATCGCGGTCTAGTATTTATTATTTGGCTTAGTTAAATTTTTAGAAAAAAGAATCGCGAATATGTTGTTGCTTCATAAGTATTGGGAGAAGAAAGTCGGTCAGTAAGATGGCACATCGGATATTATTATATTATTATAAATTATCCCTACCCTAGTAATTAAGCTATATCTTAATATAGGGCAGATATAGCTTGATATCCCTGTATTAGATCAAAGATAATCACCTGTCTACTTACGGACGGGGTTCAATCGAGCTTCCTGCGGTTGGGTATAGTGCATGTAGCTGTGATGAGGCCCAAGAGAACTATTGGCTACAGGTTACCTCATGGATATCAGGTACAATGACATGTGGACAACATGCAATTGTAATTGTGCCCAACCAAGTATTTGGCATCTGATAAGCATATCAAAAATGACTGTATTTGGCAATATATAACGAAATGAAAATGAAAAGTGTATACGCTGTTAATTGACGCTGTTATAGTAGACTGGTGGCTGCTTGTTTTACATGTGACCCGCCCGAATACAATGTACTACAGTAGCTCCAACGAGCAAGCAAACGTCACGTCACCAGCACTAGCCCGATGCAAACCTCCCAAGATCAAAAAGCACCCAAATCTAGCACATGAGCCTGGACAAAGAGCTGGTCGATCCCGCTGGCCGCGACGATGAAGATGACGAGCCTGTTCCTGTTGCCCCGGAGGAGCCCGCCGACGACCTCAACTCGCCGGCCGCCGCCCTGAAGACGAGCGAGATCCTGGCCGCCTGCACATGGAGAGATGCCACGCGCCTGAGAGCTCTCGCTGAGTCTGACGGCGGCCTGCTTGCCGATTCGCTTCGCCAGGCTGCCTGTATGTCTCTGTCTCAAATCTTTTCCCCTTCTTCTGAATACCTTCGCTAACAAACCATCTATCTGCATAGGGCCCATTCTGCTTGGCTTGACACCCCCTGCCGACGAAAAGGAACACCAAGGCGATGGCACGCGGGCAGCAGGTGCCGATGCTGATGCCGCTGGTGGTCATTGGAAAGAGTTGCCGCGCCACAGAGACGAGGACCAGGTTCAGCTCGACGTAAACCGGTCCTTTGTTCATTACCCTAGCGGTATGCCTCTCCCATGTCGTATAATACCACTCGATTGACGTACAAAAACTGACACCCTTTTTAGACCAGTCTGAACCGGAGCTGCACAAACGGAAACAAGAGCTATCAGATCTCATCGTCGAGGTTCTTCGTCGATATCCATATCTTTGCTACTTTCAGGGATACCATGACATCTGCCAGGTATTCCTGCTCGTGCTAGAGCCAGCATTCAGGGCGCCTCTGGTGGCTCGGCTCTCCATTCTACGCATCCGCGACTTCATGCTGCCCAGCCTCAGCGCCACAACCGCACAGCTAAGGCTCCTGCCCGACATTCTCGCCCGCGCGGATCCCGAGCTCCGGCGGCACCTTTCTAGCATAGAGCCTTTCTATGCGCTCGCCGGCACGCTCACCATGTACGCTCACAACATAGAGCGGTACAGGGACATCGCCAGACTGTTTGACGTCATTCTGGCCCGGGAGCCTACGTTTTCCATATACTTGTTTGCTCAGATTGTCATAGACCGCCGGGACGAGATCTTTGAGATTGACGAGCCTGATATGCTTCAAGTCATTCTCGGTAGGGTCCCGCCGGAACTAGATCTGGATGACCTGATCAAGAAATCCGTGGATCTGTTCGTTCGCCATCCCCCGGAGACCCTCCGATCGTGGTATCAAATATCGGCGTCAAGCGCGCTCAAAACTTGCAGAGATGTCGATGATAGCACACGGCAAACGCTAGAGGATGGACACCATTACTTTGAGAAGCAGGTCAAGGAAATACAGTGGCAAGAGCTGAGAATTGGGGTCAGAAGGAAGATGTGGATGTACAGGCGTCCTGTCAAATTCATCGGAGCAGCCATCATGGTCGGAGTTGTGGCATTCTATCTTCGGCGAAACCCTACTCTTGTCCAGTACATATGGTCACTCTTCCCTGGCCATCGTTGACCTCGTCGTTTACATGGAGAGTGCGGCTGAATGAAATATAAATATATCCAATCATATAGGTTAATTATGCGAAGGAGAAAGGACAGCCAGGAAATAAATAAAAGGACAAAAAAGAATCCGCTATAGTATTTACAAGGGGTTTGGTTGTGTCTAGAGTGACTAAGTTTTCTGCAGATGTGCCCGTCTAATTATTCAACCCCTGTCCCATGAACATGCTATGCCTCCTGACGCCATACAAATAACTGAAGCTAGAATCCAACCCTAGTTTTCATGACAATGCCTCAATCCAACGCTTACTTGCGTCATTATAAATCATAATTTTTGGGTGGTGGGAAGGCAGCGGCGTAAATATATACATCTATGATTCACCCTGATATGTCTGTTTCAGCTCTTCAAAATGTTCTTGTTGTTCCTGCGCCAACTTCCCCGCTTCATCGCCAATGATGGTGAGAATCAGAGAATAATTGTTATATAGGAACCGCTCGCTTTTCCTCGTGTCACCATGCGACTGCGCCTGTCGAGCCAGAAAGGCTTCGACTTCAGAGCGCAAACGGCGTAGACTAGCGACGACGGGCTCATCATCGCCGGCCTCTGTGGACAGAGCCAGAAAGCCGTGGAGCAACTGCCCAAACCGCTGCGTGACCATGTGCGGCGCGGCCGACATCTTCATCTGATCGGCCTTTGCCAGTTTCGCAGGAGCAGCATTAGTCAACAGCCGGACGGATTCGCAATGGCGGTCCATGATGACCTGCAGCCGCGGCCAGAGCAACATGTTGGTGCCGTTGATGTAGCCGTCCACGGCGGGTACTTTTCGCCTCTGGAGGTCAAAGGCAAAGTGCTGGTTGAGTCGGATGCAGAGAAGAAGTCCCAAGGCGTCGAAGCTCTCGCTGACGAGCGTCTTTGAAAGCACCCTGCCAACCTCAAAAGTCGGGTCAAATATGTAGTTGAAGTTTTTGGATATCTGCGAATAAGACAAGGCGGGTGCGAAGAAAGCCGCCAAGAAGGTATATTCGGCCGTGGCATTATCGATGAGGGCCAGGTTAAAGTTTCGAAAGGGAACTTCCAGGTAGTGAGTTGACTGATCCTCCTCCGCCAGATATGATGAGATGGCCGAGGTGCTCTTTGTCCGTAGCATGTCAATCCGGCGCCCGAGATTGAATGCATCGTGTGGCGGGCCAGCAACACGGCTGCTCGACAGGACAGCGGTTTTCCTTGTTGCATCCTCTTGCCCCAAGACGTCATTTTTATCCAGAATATGCAGCTTGAGCTTGGCCAAGGCCCTCTCGTAGCGTGTGAATTGGTTTAGATAGTACCATCGCATCGTATTCATGTACGCCTGTGAGATTTCTTCCGCAAGGGCGGCATGATGCTTATGCAGAAACGTATAGAGATCTTTGAACTTGAGGAAGTTCTGCTGCTGGATTATCTGTGCATTGATGTGAGGCGACCGAAGAGCCTTGATCTGGGCGACGAGAAAGTCTCGAATGCGCTCTACAGCCTGTGATGCTACATGTTAGTTGATTCCGCAGCCAGCTACAGGCAAAGGATCGCACCTTTAAGATTAGCTTCTCCAAGATAGGGCCCAGCTCCTCGCTTGCTTTGCCCTGTTGTGTTCCTGACAGCTTCTTGATGGCCGAGGCTCTTTTATCCATCTCAATCAACGTTTTGGCCCACAGCTCGTCAATATGGCCCGTTGTTATCCTGGAAATGGTATCGGGTGACACGCTCAGCTCTTCCACCAATGGGCCAAGCGCCTTTTCGATTCGTTTGCGGTTCTCTAACCTTCTACTCAGTGCACTGGAGCGTGACTGCAGTGTTTCAATGTCAGCCGATACGGTGGAAAGGTCGTTGCGAAAATCGGCGAGATTCATCTCGACCGAGTTCAGGATGTCGTCGCACGCAACAATGGACCGGTGCAAGGCGTCAAACCGGGCCTTGTCCTCTTCGTCTACAATTGGCAAGTCAGCAAGGGATACAACCAATTTGATTTCATATTACAGCCATGGGAATGGCGTGACGCACATTCGCTTGCACTCTGCGGCCGGCGCAAGTTTGTGGCATCTTGGTCGAAGCTCCCGGCGGCCAGCTCCTTTAGAGACAGTCCACCGAAATCGACGTCGAATGTCAGGTCCTCCGGAGTAATCAAGCTTGCCCTGCTTTGGGTCTTGCCCACGATCTCGGAATCTGCTGCCAGCAGCTTCTCTAGGACGTCCACCGAGTCCGGAGCCTGTCCGGGCTGCTGTCTCGCATCTGAGCCATTGGGCTTGCGGGACGACGCCAGCAGCGATGTGGTAGAGTCGCTTGACACCAAGGAGAGAGACGAGCCGCGCGGGGAAGGCCCTTGCCTCTGCGATGTGATGTAAGGGCTAAGAGTGCTCGATGTCCTTCGTGGGAGCGGCGAGTTGTTTCGGCTGGTGATCTGGGGAGTCGAAGGGCCGGACGCGCTGGCTTGGGTTGCTGCGAGACGGTCGAGCCACATGATGCGCAGCCAGAGTCGGAGATGAGGTTATCGATTGGAGAAGAGAGGGCGTCTCGTGATCATGACCGTCTCATGGCTTTGGGGAGGTGGTTTGAATGCCAGATTGTCACTGGTGATTCGGTGGATGGCGGGTAGCTGTGCTGTATGTGAGCATGAGCATGAGCATACATGTAGCATGTACTCGCAACTGTCGCTGCTAGCTGTACTCCGTACAGAGTGAGACGCTGCGAGGCTATGCTGATGCGCTGGTGGAGACGAACTTGGGGCAGTCAATTAGCGCCATGATTGGTGAAGGGGGGCGCTGTAGCAGCACTCAGCAAGCGCTGGACAGGATACGGAGAATCCATGGATGGACTACCTTATACAATTGGTTTCCATATCAGAAAGAATTGATTTCTCTAGATGTCTGGATTAAGTATTACATCTGAGTACTACCTAACCAATCTATGTCAGTATTCTTGTCATCTTGGATGATGTACTCCCTACTAGTACTTGGTGCTGTTAATAAGTGCCCCATGAAAAGAAGTCGGTAGCAGCCATTGCCAAGCCTCATTTACCCAGAGGCCTCAGTACGAGTATCCAGTACC